AGCTGCAGAACGCATCCCAACACATCCAAAAACAAAGCCTCCAAGTGAAGCAGAGGAATTGTACAAGAGTATTTAAACCGGGATCCTCCCCAACATTGACTAAAGAGACGCAAACCACAGAAACTTGGACATCCCTGGCACCATCAATCTTACCGAGCTCCAGTCCACTCTAGTGCAAGCGACATAACCAAAGCAATTCACAAGCAACAGAAAGCACAAAACATATATGCTATTCAACAAAGCATAACCAACCCAAAACTTCAGTAGAAAGCACAAAACATATACGCTATTCAAACATAAATAGAAAAATAATACACCTTTAACCAATAAGAACAACAGAGACATATAAACTGCAGTAAAATACCTGGCTTGAACCGGTAAGAACCCAGCTGCTTGAATTGTTAGGGTTATGAGGCAAGACTCAGGGTTAAACCTCTGAGAAGGAATACTAAGCTGCTCATAAAGGGCCATCTTATTCCTTGGAGGAGCTCTTGGCCCTCCTTTCTCTGTATCATTAACATGAAGCCTAGGGAACATAGGCCCCATGATCTTGTCATCATCTTTACGTCTCTTCATTACTATTTTTCTGAAACAAAATTTGAACCCAAAAAATTCACAAAATTCACTTTTGCACAAAATTCACGCATATATCACAAAACAGAAATCTGCCTCTAAAAAATCAAGTTTCAACAAACCCATAAAACAAAACTGTAGGTTTAGACTGAAGAAAAAAAAGGCAAATTTCCACAAAAATAAGGGCTTCGACACTTAAACCACACTCAAAATCAGTGTTCTATTATATGACCCTGTCACTATTTGAATCCGAATTAATATTAATTTACCTGCTTCGAACATGATTCCAAAAATTAAAGGTAAAACAGATCCCAACCCGACAAGATTTGCCACAATTCTATTTTTCACATAATCAGAGAAAATGTTGCAGATCAGTCCATGGTGCAGGGGGAAACGAAGGAGCAAAATGAAGCTACAAAACCAATATTTGTAACAAAATAAAAAAAGCCATTCAAATTCTTCAAATATAAGAAAATCCATTCCAAGTTAATAACTTAAAATGTTTCAATATTCTTCAGATTCTTAATTAAACCTTTATAATCTCCAACCCTTTAATTCTAAGATGTTATAATTATTAACATAATCTACATCTTTCCGTAACAATCATTCAACAACAAAAAGTGAAAATTCTAATCTACATAAGCAGATCAAATAACCCAATTCAAAAGATCGACTAGTTATGTATAAAAAGACTGACTCAATAAAATAAAATAAAAAAGAGAAATAATACATGATAGAATCATAATCAGATAACTGAAAATGGGGGAAATCAAAGTGGTAAGATTTTCTCTACCCAGAAACGGAGCTCGTCAAAGAAGAAACCAACGAAGACGTAAAGTGAAAGTTGAAACAGAGAGGCAAAGAGGGCTTGCAGAAATCCACTTAATTGAACCTAAAATAGCATAAAGTGTTAGGTAAATTTTAGGGAACATAAGAAGAGGAGAAACTTCTGTGGAATTTGGGGGAAGCGAAGTGGAATGACACGGGAAGGAAAGTAGGTTTAAATACTTCATACAAAAAAGGCTTCAATGGCGAAAGCAGTAGGGCAGCTTTTTCTCCCCTTTCTGCACCATGCAAGACCTGAAATTCAAGTAATTTATAGTGTAAGGAACCACATAGATAAACAATAACAAAGATTACAACAAAATGAGATCTCCCATTTCAGATCGTACAAATACAGTTTAAGACAAGTTCAATTAAGCTTATTAGCAATTTAGCAGACCCCACGCCTCTTCTGAAAATAGTAATAACACCTAACAGTAAACTGAAAGTGTGATAGTGAATAGAGTGATAGCATTAAACTAAAGTACAAAAGAAGACATGTATTTTCACAATGTTTACCACTTTGAACTCCATCAGTCCATCGAAAGGTTGATAAGCGGCAATCCTGCTAATGCTCATCTCTTCCCCGTTTCTCAATATGGCTTGCTCCGCATTGTCTGCTAGCCAACGCTTAACCAAATCCAAAGACAACTGAAAAATAGATATATTAAAAAAGAACCATAAAGCATTTTAAAAATTAAAAGAAGGAAAAAAAGAGCGAGGGAGAAAACCCGCTTGTTTTTGGCGCCATAGTTGTAGCCTTGTGGCTTGAGCGAGGGAGAAAACTCGCGTGTTTTTTAATTTTATTTGATATTGTAATGTTGTCCCTTAATTTTAAATTTATTCAATTTAGTCTAAATTTAATGATTTAATATATTAATTTAAGCTTCATATTTCAACTTTTTCAATTTATTCCAAATTTAATGTTATAATTTATTAATTTAAGCTTCATATTTAAAATTTGTTCAATTTGATCCTTATATATTTTTCAATTCTTTCAATTAATATATATGTTTATATTAATAAATTATATATAGTTTTATATATACTATAGTTTATATACTAATGAACTATATAAATAGTTTGTATCTACCATATACTATATAGGTTATATATACTAATGAACTATATAATATATAGTTTATATATACTAATGAACTATATAATATATAGTTTATATATACTAATGAACTATATATAATGTATAGTTTATATATACCATATAGTTTATATATATTATATAGTTTATATATACTAATAAACTATATAATGTATAGTTTAGGGTTTAGAATTTTTATATATAGTTCATATGTAAATTATACTATATAGTATATATAGTTTATATATATAATATATAGTATATAAATATAAACTATAGTATATATATAGGTCATATGTAAACTATATAGTATATAAATATCAACTATAGTATATATATATATATATAGGTCATATGTAAACTATATAGTTTATATATATAGTTCATATGTAAATATTAACTATAGTTTATATGTAAACTATAGTTCATATATAAATATAAACCTTAGTATATATATATTTTTATATATAGTTCATATGTAAACTATAGTTCATATATATAGTATAAAATAAATATAAACCCTAATCATATACTATATATATAAACTATATAATTTATTAATAACTATATAATTTATAATATATTATTTATAATTATACATAAATGTATAATTTAGTACTTTTTTGTATTAATTTCAACATCACAATTTAAAATTATTTCGTTTTAACCCTCATCAATGTGTGTTGTTTAATTTATTTAATTTTTTATTTGTAATTTCATATTTATTCAATTTAGTCCTCCAATTTTATATGTATGAATTGATTCATACTTATTACTTAATTCTATTTTTTAATTGGCCAATAACTTTTTAAATGAGTATAATTTAGTATTTTTTGTATTAATTTTAACCTCACAATTTAAAATTATTTCGATTTGATCCCTTATCAATGTGTGTTGTTTAATTTATTTAAATTTTTATTTGTAATTTCATATTTGTTCAATTTAATTCTTAAATTTGTATTTTTCATAAATTTGAACCATGATTATTTATATTCTTAGTAATTTACTCTAAATCATATACAATTACAAATTGCAATTCAACATTCGCGAAAGACGAAAATAATTAATCCAAAAATAAAAAATAACCCGATTTGAACTCAATTCATATATGATAGAGATCCGACCTGAATTTTACCTGCCAATGATGTGACCTGATCTGAACGAGATTCGCCTGAAGTCCATCCTGAATTGTTTTAACCTGAACTGGTAACGATCCGAACTGAAAATGACCTGACTTGAACCCGATCTGCATCTGGTGTCAAATCAACCTGAAAATAACCCGAACTGATTTGACTTGACCTGAACCCGATCTGGATCTGGTGTTAAATTACCTGACTTGACATGTATCTGATTTTACCCGACCTGCCAGGATCCGACTGAAACCTGAACGATTACCCGATTTTACAACCCTAAAAGGTGCGGTGTTGATTCCCGTGGGGTGATAGAAATGTTTGGAAGATAGTTCACGTGATATAAGCTTAGAAAATGGTATTCAAGCTTAGAAAGGCTGGCCACGGAAGGCATTTCATAATTTTGGAGGTTTTTCACGAAAGTTGCTCTCAATTTGGTGTTGGGACAACCTACTATTCTATCCCCTTTACCCCATTACATATGGGAATAAGGGTCAGTTAATTTTTTAATTTGATGTAACTTTTGTTAATGCTTTAATTAAAAATCAACTAAAATTAAATTTTAGTTATTAGGTAAAGTACATAAATTATCCTCAACTATAGGGTGATGCTTAGTATGGTTCCTCAACTATAGGGTGATGCTTAGTATGGTTCCTCAACTATTAAATGTTACAAAATGGTCATCCGACTATTTATGTGTTCCGAACTCATCATTTTCTGCTAAACATTTAACTGCAATTTGAGCTGAACGTTAACATGTTGCCTGAGACTTGATAAAACTTTATCATAAAATCTCGAAAGATTATCATAAAATCTCGAAAGATTATCATATCCCAGTCAGCATACTAACGTCCAACTCAGACAAACATCATTTTTAATAAAAAAAATGATGTATTTGCAATATATGAATAGTCGTGTGATAATTTTGTAACTTTTAATAGTAAATAGACTCAACAAAACAACGTCTTATAGTCAAAATTATTTTGTAATTTTTAATAATAGGAGACTCAACAAAATAATTCAATATGGTGTGGGACCATTTGTACTTTACCCTACATTTAACTAGATAAAATTAAAACAATAAATTTTACTTAATTTTCAAAGTACATTGACAAAACTATTCGCTCATGGAATGCCCCACGCAAGGTTTAGGTCTGACTAGATGAGTGGGGCTTGAATTTGAATTAATGTCGAACATTTACCACTTGGGTCTCTCCTTCGGCCCATTTTCTTCTTCTTCTTCTTCTTTATTTTGTCAAAATCCACTCTTTGGGCTTTTGTCATGTCCCTCACACTGCCGAGATGGCGGGAAGAACTGGCGGGAAATCTCACCCACCTTCCCGCTTTTAACGCGGAAAGTGAGATAGGTCAAGCAAATTGATCAATCAAACAGAGAGTGAGAGAGGGAAATGGTTGGTCCACCGTACGATTGCGTAGCGAACCCACTGGGTGCCGTTCGATTAACATTTGAGAAGGCGGTAGGATTGGGATCAGAGACCCCCACCCATCCATCCGCCTTCAACGGCAAGGATTGGGGTGCCCTCGAAGTCTTCCGCAACTTCCTCTTCCAGGAATCGGGTCTATCGAAGGTTCCCATTCTTAATCCCAAGACGTTGAGATGGGCTCAGCACAACAGTCTTGTCCGTTACCGTGGCATGATCCAGGACATGTTGGGAAATGAATTCTATGTTGGCGCTTACAAGGATGTATGTTTCTTTTCCTCTACAAAATTTTATCCTCTTCTTTTTCTTTAAAGAATCTGAATTAAGGGGTTTTATGTTTCTCTTTTCTGTTGCTAAATAAAGGGTGGGAGTTCATGGCGAACCAACAAGTTCACGGATGTTTCTCAATACCCTATGGAATCCCCTTCTGATACGTGTATTTGGGAACGCCGCTTGCTCTACTGTATTCCTGTCAGTTCTCTTCTTGTATTTTGAGGTTTTGGTGATTAATTGTAGTGTTTAAATGTTGGCCAGTTGATAGGAAATTCATGGTTTGAAGTTTTCTTTCTATTATTTAAACTTGGTTTTACTAAACTTATTTTGTTAACATACTGTGATTCTATTGGTTTCTTTAGGTTCCAGGGCATAGTTCTTGGACTGAACCTTCTTGCGATATGGATTCTAATTCGTCATCGTCCCAAAGCAGGGAGAAGCGGCGTAGGATGAATGATGAAGATGGGGACCCCATGGATTTGGTTGGTCTTGCTCCATTTACCCTTTACCATTTGTCTATTCATTTCGGTGTGTCTCATTCTCAATTTGATAGCCTAACCATATAACACAATCATAAAAGTAGGGTACTCTCATTCACCAAAAAAATATGGTAGTATCTATCCCATTTTTTTTCCTGAAAATGAGATGACGATCTTGCCTGCAATTTGTGTTTGTTTTTCCCTGAACTAGCGGATTTTGTTTATAAACTTGCGTTGGTTAATCACTAAATTTTCCTCTAGTGAAGGGTACGGTATGTTGAACACATTTGGAACCCCTTAAGAATAGTTGCCTACTTACTGGATTCCTTTATTATTCGGTTTTAATGTATTTGTAGTTATCTAATTGAACTTTGATGCTGTGTATTATTTCAGGTTCCTGAGGATGAGGTTAAAAGTTCTCCAATTGCCAAGAAGATGGTAAAAAGACGGTACTCGAACTTTTTATGATGTTGCATTATATGCATTTTATTGTCTTATCAAATTAATTATCAGGGAATTTCTAAAATGTTAACACATGCAAGTTTCTTTGACCAGAATTTAGATGCTTTAAGAAAGTGAAATAGAAATTTGGGTTTTTTTCCTTTTAGTCTATTTTGTGCTTGACATCGGTTTGTTTGACTTTGTTTTGTGACAGCACCTTATTAAGTGAATTTCAGTTTGGCTGAATCTACGAGTTCAATTACCATTTCTAATAAAGCCATTATTGGAGGCTGAATACACATCTCTTGAGATTATGAGTGCATTATGTAGGATTTGCTTCATGTTCTTTTTCTTAATTCTTAATTCTTAATTTTACCTTTACATGCTATTTTAGGGGTTGAGATCCAGTTCATTATTATTTTGGCCAATAATTTCTAGTACATTGATCATCACCATTCGTATGTGTAGGACTCACTCATGAATTGTTTGTCGTACTTATAGTGATTAAACTTGTACAGTAATGGATATAAAAACAATGGAGGGGTACTTGACCCTACTTCAGTAGGAATATGGTCCTAATCAGATTATTTTTTGCTAGAGAGAAGATGGACATCCTTCCACTTCACCAGAACCTATGGATCTTAAAACTGCAAGCTCTTCTTCCACCATGAGTATGTTTCAATTTGATGACAAAGATAACCTTCCTTGCCTAGTAAAGGTAAATGGTTTCATGGCATTTCCCCAATATGCATCCAAATATATTGAAATGATCTGTAGATGAGTGGTTTTGTTCTTATATTTTCAACCAAGGTTGATTGTTTTCCATTTTTAAAATCCAGATATATGATTCTCCAGAGTCAGACTTAAAGCTGAATGATGTTTTTGAGTTTATTGGGGTCCTCACTTTTGACTTAGAGTTTGCAGTTGAGAAAGATGACAATGATGAGTTATCAAATGGTTTATATGATGATGCACTGGTCCATATGCCCCCTAATAAGGTATCATTTGCAGTTAAAATTCTTTGTAATGAAAATGTAGTTTTGAGATTTTTTTTATTGATGAAAAGAACCATTTTATTTTTGCAATACTCCAGTCCTGTATGTGTTTTATCACACTTGTTATGGTCGGGAATTTTGTAGCTTGACATGCATTACTGATGATGCACATCATGATTAGCTTTACAATTGCCGTACAAATGTCTTGCTGTAATGAATTGGTTTGATTTCATTGTGTTGTCTCTTTGAAGACGTATTAAGTAATTTTTCCACCCTTTCCTGTTGCAGGTCCCATGCTTGCACTGTATTGTGCATAGGAAGCTTGCAGTGCATGACTTTCTGCCGGGGTCCCCAATAATGGAGGTATATTACAGGAGAGATTTATAGATTGCTCTTTCTCATGCTGACTAGTTTTCAGTTCAATTGTCTAGTTAGGTTCCTGTTTTGCTTCTTAATGTTCTCATCTTTCTTCCTTGTAATCTTCATTCTTCCAGCCAAAGCCACATTTGGTGAAAGAGATAAGGGAAGGTCTGTTCTTGCATCTTAAAGCCGTTCTCGGATATGATGGCGTAGCTGCTCATTTCATGTTGTTGCATCTTCTGTCCAAGGTAATGTTTTCCTCTACAACTATCATCTTATTTCTTGATTTTATGCTGGGTGGCAGTTTCTTGTCCTATTCACTCTTAAATTATGTCAATTTTCCCCCAGTAAAGTAAAATACTTGCATGTTTCATTGAAACCTCTACCTTTCACTTCCCATCTTAGATTGTGCGAAACTGATCGACAGGTTCACACTCGAGTAGATGATGTTGCTGTCGGGAAGCTGTCACTAAATCTAATTGGTTTAAACAAAGAAAGTGCATCTGTGTTTGGCACTCGACTTAGCGAAACTTTCAAAAACCTGCTACCATTCACGAATTTTATGCCTCTCACACTGGAATATCTGAACAGTACCTCTCTTGCCCCGAAAAAGGATTATCAAACAAACAGGTATCCTTAATTGTATCCCTGTAACTTGGGGAAGTTAATGTCTGCAATCATTAAGGAAGCTTCTAGGAACCATCAGTTTTTTTCCTAAATAGCTTAACATTGTATTGCAGGTTGATTCCTGGAGTTCTTCAGCTACCTGAGGGATCACACTTGATGGTTGATGAAACACAACTAGAATCAGGAAGCCTCAACTCCGTTGGGATTGAGAATACAAAGTTGCTGAAAAATCTGATAGAGTTTCAAAAAGTAAGCTGCCACTCGGTTTGTCAAAACATGTGTGCATGAATATACTGGATCAAGGAAGGTGTTTTCAGAGGTCTAATGTGCATATTCGGAATGTGCTTGTTCTATAAATTGCAAGTAGTTCTAATTATTGCAAATCTTTTTAATTAAAGTTACAATTTTACCAGAGAGATTCTGCCCTGATCTTAGTTGAAGCTGACTCAACATTGAAATGTACTTATTCCAGGTGGAATACGATTTTCAGTACTACAAGGTGGAAATGGCAGCGGATATCCAGTTACTTGTCTTTTCAGAGGGGAAATCTAATATTGATCCTGCCGATATAATTGTACCTTTTCAGCCTTCTCTTGCATCCTCTGAAATACCAGTTGCTGAAGCACTGGAAGTTTGGAGATGGTATCTGGCTACTGTTAGATCGTTACCACATTCCATTGGATCAGAAATGCAGAAGGTATGAATTGAAACTTGATTTCTTCTAGCATGCTACTAAGTCCAATACGATTCTCCCATGTGCATTTGTTGATCGGACACTTGCATTGCTGTGACATTTTAGAAATCTTAAATTCACTTTCACCCAAATTCATACCCTTCTGGCTTGGATTACGTTTGAGTATTACATTTGGGAGGAATGCAATCGTAGATTGTTTCGTGGTGTTAATCATTCGGTTGATAAAATTGTTGATAGGTTGTTCGTATAAAGCTGTATAAACTGTATAGACAAAAATGACAGGACTAATGTGCAATTGTGCACTGACTGGGGGATTATTTAGGCTGGGATTCTTGTGTGTGTGGTGTTTCTTGATGTTTTGATTGTAGCAGCTTTTGTGCTGCTTTCTTGGATAAATATACTTCACTCTTAATGCCCGCTTCTGCATAATCCTAACTAGTTAGCAGACTTAATAGCATGTAATGAATCTTCCAAGTTATGTTAAAATGATGTGTTCTTTTTGCTAGGTAGACAACGTGTGGTGAGATTGCAATTCCTTTTTTTTCTCCCTTTTTTGTTCAGTTCCAGATTTGATATGTTAGTATTTGATCTGTTAATGGTTTAGATGGACTAAATTCGGTTAGTGACAAAAGTGATTTTTCTAGCATTGCTTACATTCCTGCTCAAGATAATTTTTTCCATCAGTTTTATGTCAACTGAATGGAGGTCTTAGAATATTTATAGTTCATTTTTCTTATGGTTTACTCACAGGTGGTAGAGGATGACTTGGTTGCTGCCAGACAAGCAGATCGGAGCTTGGGCAGCCGTGATTTTAGCAGGTTAGAAGCAAGAGCGAACTTTGATCATGCTTTATGTGCATTGCTGGTTTCGATGTCGCATTGAAGTTAAAATAAAATGTAAAAATGTAATGATGCGTAGATGGTTGACAATGGGCCGCCTCATATCCTCAAGTTTGGGAGAAACCTCTCTGTCATTGGAACATTGGCAAATGGTAAAAGGATTGGAGAGGCTGAGGAAGCTGAGACTCAAGTAGAAGTATGGTCAGCAGGAGCAATTTTTCTTCTTTTACTTGCAGGCTGCTAAAAGGTAGAGCTTTTGCAAAACCAAAATGGGAGTGTCTTTTTTTTTACCTGATCTCTAATGCAAGTAATATCCTTGTAAATCTAATCATGCAACAATTCAAACTCGAAAGCTTAAGCACTACCCCGTTATGCAGGCTACCTTTTTTCCGAATCCGGGCAGTAACTGGTTCTCAAATAATTCACATCAACTTTTGGTCTTATGTTTTCATTTACTCTCTGTTTTTTTATGAACAATAAATTTGTCCTCCGGCAACTTCAAATGACTAGTCAGCTGAATCTGGGATTCATTAATGTATATGTCTTTTTTATTTTTTATCAACGTCTACACACGAAGACCAAAAAAAAATTGTCTCGGTTAAGTATCTTTAAACAAAACGTTAATGTCAAATTTTAAATGAAGAAAATACCATGAGCTTTAATTATGTTCAAAATCCAAATCTAACAAAGAAAAGAAACACGTGGTGCGGATACATCATTGAAATTGTCCAAATTTCAGCCACCCATACTCATTTTCATTTATTATCTGTTTTTTACTTTCAGTGACCTCGCAACTTCAAACGCTAAAAATGACTGCCCAATCTCACCTATTGTTGAATATATGTGACCCACATCTCTATTATATTTATCTTCTCTTTGGATAAGGACGATTGAAAGTTCACATTTGTCCATGTCGTCTAAGATTATTTATTAGTATATTCTTATATTTTAGATATTTAAAACTCACGTAAACTACTTAAAAATGATTCCTATAATTCAACATCACCATAAAGTCGCATTTACAGTGCACACTCATCAAAATTCAAACTCTAGAGGCTTAATTCCAAAGTCCAGTTCAAAATTCCGACAACTCATTTCCGTGCATGACGGATACATTTTAGATACCATCTCAGCAGGCTCCGAGCAATATTCAAACTCATCATCCCCCATTATATCCTTCCACATCATACAATCCAAGTCCGTAACATCACTAGGCGTCGTTGATGTCTCCTCCTCCGTTTCCTTCTTTACAGCCAGAGACGTCGGACTCGGATCTGAATGCTGATGGTGCTGGTGTTTGATCAGGATTTCGGAGTCGCTGTTATCGACCGTACCGGTTTCCCAACATTCAGAATTTGTGATGATTAGGGGAGGAGTCTTGGATGAGTAGCTCATACAGGTGTGGGATCCGATATAAGTGGTCCGATACATTTGGGAACCATCTTCCATTCTTTGGACTTGTTTGGTGGCTTGACAACCTTGATCATACTTGCGAGTGCATCTAAAGTAACTCCTGTTTGATTCAACCGCATGGTTACTTTCAATTAGGGATGAATCGAGAAAATTAATCGGAGGAATAGCCTTTAAAATTTTCATTTTTTTTATTTTTGATTAATTTGAGTGATTATTAGATAGTATATCTTCATAATTTTATTAGTTAACTAACAACCAAAACTCATTGTAAAAATAATTGTTTGAACAAGAAACTCAAAAAATAACTACTCGAACCCAGAAACTTAAATGAGAACAACAATCACTTTAACCATTAATATGTTCTAATATGGTATTTATCTAGATGTTAATGATTATATATATATATATATATATTAAAAATCACCTAATATTTTTACTTAAATATAACATGCTTATTAAAATGTGGATAATGAAGTGGGAATGGAATAGTAGGAGTAATAATGAAGGCACTAGAATAGAATCAGAATGAATGTGAGTGACAATGAATGGCAGCTTCCATGAGTTTTCCTAACTATGTAAATAATATTTGGATTTCAAAATAGCAACTAGAAATCATGAAAATATACTAATTATACTATAAAGTTTAAAATTTTATAATAATATCAATTAAAATATATCAATTTTTTAAAACTTATTAATTATAATATAAAGGCAAAAGGGTAACTTTTATCCCTGTAGTAGACTCAATTTATCACTTTCGCCCCTATCGTGTTTCGCATCAATTTAGCTCTCCAAATTGCTCAATTGCATCATTCTATAACTCACCCGGACTAAAAACCCTACATTATAAAGCCTAAACCATAAATCACACCCTCACAACCTCTAAACCATAAGTCCTAAACCATAAGTTAGGATTTATAATTTAGGATTTTAAGTCAGGAGTAAGATAAAGAATAATGCAACTGAGCAATTTCGAGGGATAAATTGATGTAAAAACATATTGGGGGCAAAAGTGATAAATTAAGTCTACTGCAGGAACAAAGATGACCTTTAAGCCTAATATAAATTATAAAATATGACGAGAACAGATAGATAACATCAAAGAAATTTTGTAGCCTATTGGCAGCTTCAAGTGATATCCCCCAAGTCCTAACTACACAACGAATTATACGTTTTAGCAATAAACCCTAGAATTGACCTTTTCAATTGATTCTGATTTGAAAGAAAACTAAACAAATAAATACAAATCTAATGAGCAGTAATCTTCTTCATCTGGAATTGATAGAAGTAGAAAACTCATAAAGTTCATCCTAAACAGATTTAATTAAAGATAGACCAACGGTCGATTAGGTTGTCCATCCTATTAAAACTTTTAAATTTCTATACATTTTAAATATTTTTTTATTTGTTATCGATAATTTGTTTTCGTCTCTCTAAAATTTTATAAATTCACTTTCTAACATAAAATCTCACGTTCACCTCTAAATTTAATTGTTGTACATTTAATTTTGAAGTAAAAAAATATTAAAGTTATTGTATTTTAAAGTGACGTATTTGAGATATGACAAATTAAATTATTCAGTTTTGTTTCTAAGCATCAATGCAAGCTTGCAACATAATCACCCATAGACAATAAATTTCAGCTAATTGACAAGTTCATAAAAGAATATTTAACAAAAGCATCCAACAAAAAGCTGGGGGGTATAATCAAGACTGGTAAACTGTATTAATACACAAATTAATCAAACTCATGAACCCCTAACTGCATGTCCTTTGAGCTTGAGAGAAGCCTGAAACTCTTTATAACCACTCATGTAGTGCTCCAGAGTGAAAGAAAGTTGTCTTATTGCCTGTCTTTTCTCCTCAGACACATCTGAGATCATAATTCTCTGCCTATCCACTTCCTTCTCAAGGTCCTTTATCTTCAACTTTAATTCGTCCTCTACATTCTTTGCATGTTTTGATCCTGAAATTAGCTGCTGATGTTCCCTGCTTAATTGCTGTAAATGCTCCTCCATTTGCCGAATCAGCGAACCTCGGGAACGAACCTCGCCGACGAGAGTGTTTACCTTTGCAGTAACTCCATCATATTTCAATTTCACTTTGTCAAGGTCCTTATTCAGAGCTTCTACATGTACAGCTTTCTCATCTACTTCGGCCCTTAGCTGACTTATCTGACCTTGCAACTTGGTCTGTTTAACATCATACAAACCTTTGGTTTCTATTTTTTCTGTTTCACATTGCCTTAACTTTTCCTCCAATAGTCTTCCGTGTAATTCCCATTCCTTGAGTCTAGCCTCTAAATGGGCCTCTTTTTCTAACCGGCCAAAAATTTCAGACTGGAAACTTGCTTTCTGCATAGAGAAATTATCCATGGCATCACATAATGCACTCTTTAGTTCCTCAACTTCACGATCACGATTAGATAGATCATCCTTGTACCTCAAAATCTGCTCCTTTAAATTCACAACCTGCCTCCTCTCTATGTCTAGTTGGGCTTTCAAGGCTGCTATCTCTTCTTGGGCAGACTCAAGGTGGCCTGGCATATGATGAGCATCATCAGAAACCTTCTTCCCAAGCTCATGCTTCAACAATGCAATCTCTTCTTCTGATGTCTTGATCTTTTCTTTACTTCCAGTAAACTCCTCCATCAACCTCAAAGCTTCGGAGTTGGAGTCTGAAACGTGAACTTCCAGCTCAACTATCTGGTTTTGCAACTCAACTACCTTCTCCTTCTCCAACTCAAGATGAGCTTCCCTCATTTTCATGTCCATCTGCAATGATTCGAGTTGAACAGCCATGCTTTCAGCAAGGACAGAAACAGACTCACTCTTCTTGAGCTCTGCATTCAATCTCACAATCTCTTCTTCTGCAAGCTGGAGTTTTAGCTTGGAATTCCTTAGCTTTTCTCCACACTTGGCGTATCTTTCATTCAGTTCTTCATAGCTTCTGTTTCCTCCCATTTTCAACTTTCCATCTGCATTCTCTTCATCCACCACTTGTATCTTCTCAATAACTTTGTGATGCTCTACCCCATTAACAGAATCCATAGCTGAACTCAAGTAGATGTTGGCGGATGAGCTGAAAGATTCGGAGTCAGAATCTGATGAGAATGAAGATGATTCGGTCCCTTCCTTCGATGACAACTCGGAACTGAAAGATGAAGCTTTTTGAACAGACATGGGTATATCCATTTTTTTATCAGATGTAACCATATCAGGGTCTTGAGTTAGGAAATCAGAAGGTAAACTTTTTCTCAATCCACAGCTCAAATGATCGTAGCGCTCAGCCAGAGACTGATAAATACGGCGGAGTTCCTGAACTTGGTCAATCACCTCATATTTAATCTGATAATGCTCTTCAATATTGTCTTCCACCAATTTCATTATTTGATTAACATTCTGGTTCATGTCTGCAGCCAAGAATCTTAAATCATTTACGAGTCATGGGATTTCTAGATAATAGTTAAATTGGTGTTCAAGAGAACCAACAAGAATCTAATCAACCCAATCGGAGATATGCTAATCATATGAGATCAAAAGTAGACTGCTTACCTTTGGAATTTCCTGCCAGCCACTCAGAATTCTCAGGATTGAGATGACAATCCCACCAACAAGGTTGCATGCCCACCGAATCAACCCTGTTCATATTTCCATCTGTCTTCAAAAAATATAAACAACGTTGTATAAGATTTCCCCAAAATAAACTTGTAAAGAGATAAAAGGAAAAAGAAATATCCAAAAGAAGAATAACAGATCGATTCTATTATTGATGCCAACACAAAGAAATAGTTTAATTGACTATTTAGGATGAATTAATTAGTAGGCAAAGATTTGTTAATTTGTATTTAGAAAAATTAACATTTCCCACTGTCACATTAAGGATAAAAATGGAAGTTGCAAGCTAAAGTTTTTGCCTAACTTGTCCATGGACAGGCAATCCTCCCAGAAAAACAAGGTGTTAAGAATGTAATCACGGATCAAATTAAAGGATACAATTGTTTGTAAATATCATAATCAACAAACATTGACAACCCTAAGGAAGAAATATATATCCCTTTATAAAACTGGGATCAAATCATCAGTTGTTCAGCAATTTTGATAAAACTTTTTGTTTGTTCTTAGAATTTTAGCAAATCAAAGAGTGATGGCTTCACAACATTCTTCACAATTTCGGTAATCGACTTATTTAACCACTTGAAGGGTTGATCTTGTATTGTGTGGTTCTCGCTTGTGTTTTCCATCACTCTAAATAGAAATTGCAGAATGTAAAACAGCACGCATACTGCAGACGCTTGAGCTGATCACGTACCACAGCCCATAAACATGAACAAAAAGCTCAACGGTAATCACAAATCCATCAAGCAATCTGAGTTACAAACTTAAGACACGAGAGAGAAAAACGCTCAAGGATTTGTTACAGTCTGCGATGTCATGATGGTCTCAATTATGAAAACACATTTCAAGCGGAAGAACAAACGCCAGAGTTCACCTTGATTTCAACTTCCATAAAAATTCAAAGAAAGAAACTGAAATAGCAAGAAATCTAAACTACAAATAGAAAAACAAAGTATCAGCGCAAAATTTGATTTAAAATAACTAGATGTAGATCCCAAAACAGATTAATGCAAGAATATGAATGTTAACATACAAGTAGTAATTGACCATAAATTCAGGAGAAAAAGAAAATATGTTCACATACCTTAGTGAAGGAAGAGGAGAATTGAGGGCAGTGAGACTAGGCTTGGAGCATGGTTAGAGAATTTAAACAAATAAAAGGAGAGGGAACAAGGCTTCCATTCCCATAAAAAAATCCAACATTTGAAAATTGAATAGGTAAGTGGCGGGAAATATGGTGGGGTAGAGAAGAGGAGAAGATTTTTTCATATGTAGCATTTGGAAATATTTACAAATGTCTCTAAGTTGTAACTGCAAATGCCCAAACATCCCATCATCGGCTCCGGACACTCGAGAATCCTATGCAACTTCATTTTTGTGTTTAGTTATAGTTCTAATTTCAAAGTAAAAACTCCTCTAACCTCTAAATTCTAGAAAAAAATTTAGGGGTTGTTTGTTTGTCTCTTAATGAAATCATTCAACGCTGAATGTTGAACCATTCACATTCAGTGCGTTTGTTTCGCATCTCTGAATGATTCAATGTTGACTGATTCAGCAAAACAGTGCTAAATGATTCAGCACAGAAGTATATTCTGAATGATTCAGAGCTATTATCAAACAACATGTCATATTCAGAGCTAATTCATACAGAGCATCTGAATCATTCAACATTTGAATCATTTAGCGCTTAATCATTCTTAAGTAAACAAACAACCCCTTAGTTTTACTTTAGTATTTAGGGTAAATTTTGTATTTAATACCTAAAATATTAGTTTTGATCTATTTTAGTACCTAAACTTTTAACTTTTTCAAAATCATACTTAAAATTTAATTTTTTTTTTCATTTTAGTAGCCCGTTGTGAGAAACTCTAGTTTTTGTTTTATTTTGGTATATTTTCAAAATTTAACGTTAAGTTTTGAAATTTTTTTGAAAGTTTAGGTATTAAAATGGACCGAAACCGATAGTTTAGGTAATAAACGCTTTAAGTTTTTAACGACATGGTACTAAAATGAAATGAAAACTAAACATTAAGTATAATTTTGAAAAAATTAAAAGTTTAGGTACTAAACGAACCAAAACTGATAGTTAAGTATTAAATGAATAGTTTGCCCTAATATTTATTATTATTTATATTTAGGTAACTACATGTAAAGGAAGAAAAGGTACATGAGATCCTCGTTCTTTCCAAAAAAAAGTAATGTAGTCCTACACTTTTTTTTTCCCAATGTGGCCCCAAGAAAAAAAAAATTAATGTGATTATTTGACCAACGATTATATTATTTTTTGTGCTGACGTGGCACATCAAGCAATTCAACCCTCTGTTTAATAATATTATAAATTAGATAAATTGAGTCATTCATCATTCAACGATATTTTATCTTCTATTTTGATAACTAAATTTATTCAATCATCATAACTTTATTATATATATATATTATTTTAAAAAAAACTTTTTTTTGTTTAAAACAAACCCACCCTCATCCCCTACCTCCAGCCCCCCTCCCTCTACAATTCCCCTCCCTCACGTCTCCATTGAACCGACAAGACACCGGCCACCATCATCGCCGAACTACACACTCGTCGACCACCATCACCACCCACCTAAGATTTCACTAATATGTTAATTTTGTCTCATTCTCAATATCAAAACGCATACAACTTCACCAATCGACCTTATTAAAGATTTTTTTCTAACAGAAACTCCATTGACAAACAATAAGATTTAGAAATGCCTTTGGTCTAACTTCAAATTTCATTCAAATAAACTTCCATACATCAACCCAATAATCAATCACAACAAAGATACTCCATCAAAATACAGAAACAATACATAAAATCAAAAGCCCACAAATCTCATTCATTTCTTCACATTACATTCAAAATAAAGCATACAATCAAACGGATTTGTGGGGGAAAAGAAGCAAAAGTTACCAGCTTGAGCAGAAGGAAAATATAGCATTCACGATTTCGAGTTTTTTCTTTCATTCCTTTTGTAACTCGTTATGAACACCATTGTCATTTCCCGACACCTGAGCATGGAATGACATTCTCTTGCTAAATTAGAATAAGTTAAAGCTTCGACACTGAGCATGGAATGACATCCTCTTGCTAAATCCGAATAACTTTAAGCTTAGATCTTACATTTCCCGGATCGTCGAATGTAATCATAACTTTGCCAATTGCTTTTCTGTCTTTAATTGCAGAGAATGCATGGCTGGCCTGTCATACACAAGTAATCAATAAGCTCTGATATTTCAAATCCAAAGTAGAAAGCACTCGAAACTACGCCTATAGAACACAATTTTCAGATTATCCACAATTCAGAAGAAAAATATAAAATCAATTGAAAGGACTCAAATAATCCCTTGTAAGCACACACATCATAAGATCACGCTGTCAGCCTGTGATAGACTACACGCTTTCATCCTACAACAGGTATGACAACTTACTACCTAGAAAAGACTATAACTTCACGAGTAAAAATGATATGGATCGCTAATAAATATTATTTCATCAGTGATTCTCGAAAAAGAAAACGTGTGGAACAAAAGTAAATTATACATTGATTATCAATATGACTATGTTTTGCATGATATTGTTTGATTTAAGATAGTTCTGGGAAATCAGGAGTTCACGACACTAGAAACAACATTGATCATTCTGCCCCCAATGGAAAACTCATATGAATGCTACTTATGCACTAGGGTCAAGATGTAAGTTTAGTCTGATAAATTTGGTAGCAAGGTTCTTGTCACTCTGCAATTTTAAGCATTGGTTAAATCCGCTTTCAGCACAGTGACTCTGCTAGTGTCAGCTTTGTGGTTTAAGACAAAGTTTTGTGCTTCCTCTATATATTTTCTATAGTTTTGGTTAATTGATTAGTTCTTCTTTAACTAAAGAACAAAAGAATAATTCATAAAGGAGGAAAATGGGAAGACCAGTGGGAGCCCCTCACCTCTGATAGGCTGTAAGTATGAGAAATGTGAACGGTAATCAATCCCTTCTCCATCCAAGAGAGTAACTCACGGACAGAATCCTTGAGCACAGATGGTTGATGTATCCTGTAGCTACCCCCAGTAGAGTCCGTGCACTGTCCATTTCTGCAGAAGTATAAGATAGGTGTTTGAGAAGGCTATTTCAAGACATGCAACTAATAGTGAGCGATTGTAGCGTGCTTCTAATTTGTTTAATATTGGAACTGACCACTGAGCCTCATTAGATGAGGTTTACCACAAATATCTGCAGCATCAAAGCTATATTTAGCTCTTTCAAGCGCATATCTTTATTTGTCTATCATTAATATTTTCATAAAGTTATCATTCAACTGTGCTCGAGATAAGGCCGTCATTTTGCAAGCTAATCGCAAGATCACTGAAGTTACAGTCCAAGAATCCATATGATTGTGGAAGGAAAAAGAGAACACAAATTGACATTAAAATATCGATTTCAACTCATTTGCATATTTTTATTGTCATGTGGTGTCTGTTTATGATCGATATAAACTCAACTGAATATATTGAAAATGAAGAAGAAAAAGCACCTTGCCCCAGAGGAATGAATTTGTATGGATATATGTTCATGGGTATGCACACTTTTCTTTAAAAAAATTGTATATTTAAAGGATCGTAAACTATACTAATGTCTGTTTATGATCTTCCTGGTTACTATGCTGATACCAACATAAAAATGAATAAGATGGTCAATTTAGTGCTAGTCTTCAATCTTCATTAGAACAAGGGTCCAACCGGGAATGCAATGGCTAACTAGTGAAGGTAGCATAGTTCCGTACATGATACATCGATTTGAGGAAAAAATGTAACAAGAAGAGATAAGGTGAAGTACCTTAACAAGAGTGATATTAGCTGGGATGACTGGGAATTCGCCGCTGGCGAATCCAATGACGAGAATCTGAGCACTCCAATTCAAGAGCTTCATAGTTTCTTTAGTAAGCTTCCCACCAACAGGATCAAAGAGAACATCAATCCCTTTGAGGTTCCTTGACTTAAGGAACTCCTTTACACTCGTGGTTACATTTTGGTTCATTAATCAACACCCAAGGACTTTAAAAACTGTACCTTTTCAGCTCCCCTGAAAAAAATTAATTGATCTCTATGTTGGAGTCTTGAGATGAATGAAAAAACAACGCTGCTAATAATCTAATGGGGAAAGAAAGAAGAGGTA